GGCGAAAACATGAAGCTCTTGTGGAGAAGGATAGATTTCTTTACGAGAAAGCAAGAAGTTCTTCCGGAGAAACATCGATTTCTTCACGAGAAAACATAAAGTTCTTGTGGAGGAACAGGGATTTCTTCGGGAAAAAACATGAAGTTCTCGTGGGGAAACATAGAATTCTTGGGCCAGAAACACGAATGTCTTGTGACCAAACTACGGCGAACCAACAGAAGAGATAAGCAATATTATCCTTTGCTTAGTGTAACCCTTGTTTGCGAAACGAAGAAAAATAAAAGAATTTTCAAGGAATAGATATAGAACAGGAAAAAGAAAGAGAAATAGACCCATGAAAAAAATTGGCTTTTGTATTCATGCTGTATATGATCTGTATGGTTAACGGTGCTGCTAGCGCCCGAGGATGTAGTTTGAAAGCCTCCAAAATCACTTAGATATACTCAAAAATGAATGAGCATTCCAAATCTAACCAAAAAATCGCTTCAAACTAACGTTTTCCGTTCAAAAAACCATTTTCAAGCCAAAGAACGAGGAAAATGCCTCTAATCCTTCAGGTCATGGGCTTCGCATTTTGTAACAAAGTCGCGCCCCAGTCAGAAAATCAGAATGTGTAAAATTACATGTACAGTTTTAGATGCTCTATCGAATGAAAAAGAAATTGAACCTCCAAAGTTTCGCGCTTTGGTTCAAAAACGAGTTTCAATAGAACGGGCGCCTAGAATGCCCTTTCACGAGAGGTTTTTCGTACTATTTTAGCTGGCAAAACGTTTTAACTCACTTATGTTGTGCTGGGTTCTTGTAGAGGAACATGGATTTCTTCGCCAAAAAAAATGAAGTTCTTGTGGAGAAACACAGACTTCTTCAGGAATGGACATGCAGTTCTTCCGGAGAAAGATCGATTTCTCCACGAGAAAACATGAAGTATTTGTGGATAAACAGATTTCTTCCCAAAATAACAAGAAGTTCTTGGGGAAAAGCATAGACTTCTTCACGAGAAAACTCGAAGTTCTTGCTATAGGAACGTGGATTTTTGAGGGAAAAACATGAATTTGTAGTGGGGGAACACGGATTTCTCCGCGAGAAAACATGAAGAAACATGACGTTCTAGTAAAGAAATACAGATTTTTTCAGGAAAAAAATGAAGTTCCTCCGGTGTAACATCGATTTCTTCAGGAAGAAACATGAAGTTCTTGTGGAGAAGGACAGATTCCTTTATGAGACAGCAAGAAGTATTTGTGGAAAAACAGATTTCTTCGCAAAGTAACCGAAGTTCTTGGGGAAAATCATAGACTTCTTCACGAGAAAACTTGAAGTTCCGGTTACAGGAACGTGGATTCTTTCGAGAAAAAACATGAATTTGCAGCGGGGGAACATGGATTTCTCCGCGAGAACACATGATGTTCTTGTGCAAAAACACAGATTTCTTCAGGAAGAAACATGAAGTTCTTTCGGGGAAAGATCGACTTCTTCACGAGAAAGCATGACGTTCTCTGACGAAGCGCCGATCTCTTCAGAACAAAACATGACGTTCTTCTGGTGTAACATCGATTTCTTCACGAAAAAACATGAAGTTCTTGTAGAGCACCATCGATTTCTTCGGCAAAAAAACGTGAAGGTCTTGTGGAGGAAAATAGATTTCCGCACGAGAAAACATGAAGTTCCTGTAGGGGAACATCGATTTCTTCAGCAAAAAACATGAATTTCTTGTGGATAAACATCGCTTTCTTCAGTAAAAAACATGAAGTTCTGGTGGAAAAACATAGATTCTTTCACGAAAAAAACATCTAAAATAGTTGTTTTGGATAGACATCGATTTCTTCGGGAAAAAACATGAAGTTCGCGGGAAAAACCATAGATTTTATCAGGAAAAAACATGATGGTCTTGTGGAGGAACATTGATTTCTTGAAGAAAACAAAAAGTTTTTGTGCATAAACATCGATTTCTTCGGGAAAAAACATGAAGTTCTTTTGCAGGAACAAGTATTTCTTCAGCAAAAAACATGAATTTCTTGTGGATAAAGATAGACTTCTGCACGAGAAAACATGAAGTTCTCGTAGAGGAACATCGATTTTTTCACTAAAAAACAAGTTCTTGTAGAGGAACATGGATTTCCTCAGGAAAAAACATGAAGGTCTTATGGAGGAACATGGATTTCTTCGTTCGAAAGCAAGAAGTTCTTGTGGATAAACATCAATTTCTTCAGTAAAAAACACGAAGTTCTCGTGGAAAAATATAGATTTCTGCACGAAAAAAAGATGAAGGTCTTGTAGAGGAACATGGATTTCTTCAAGAGAAAACGTTTGGTTCTTGTGGATAACGTCGATTTCTTCAGTAAAAGACATGAAGTTCTACTGGAGAAACATCGATTTCTCCACGAAAAAACCTGAAGGTCTTGTGGAGGAACATGGGTTTCTTGGTTCGAAAGCAAGAAGTTATTGTGGATAAACATCGCTTTCTTCGGGAAAAAACGTGAAGTTTTTGTGGAGGAAAACAGATTTCCGCACGAGAAAACATGAAATTCTTGTATGGGAACATGGATTTCTTCACGAGAAAACAGAAGTTCTTGTGGGTAAACATCGATTTCTTAAGAAAAGAACATGAAGTTCTTGAAGGGGAAGATAGATTTCCGCATGAGAAAACATGAAGTCCTTGCAGAGGAACATCGATTTCTTCGTTCGAAAGCAAGAAGTTCTCGTGGAAAGACATAGATTTCTGCACGAAAAAAAGATGAAGGTCTTGTAGAGGAACATCGATTTCTTCAGGAAAAAACATGAAGGTCTTGTGGTGGAACATGGATTTCTTCGCGAGAAAGCAAGAAGTTATGGTGGAAAAACATAGATTTCTTTACGAAAAAACATGAAGTTCTTGTAGAGGAACATGGATTTCTTCAAGAAAGAAAAAAGGTTTTGGGCATAAACATCGATTTGTTCTGGAAAAAACAATTAAGTTGAACAATTTTCGATTTATTAAGAAATCGTTGCCAATGATATACAGATACAAAGGAATTTCTTTTGAACCTAGCCGCTAAAGATGGCGATGTCAAGATAAGATCATCTGTGGCAAAACATGTGGTTTAGACTGGCCATAAAATCGACTGGGAAAATTTTGAAATTATTGATAGTGATAAAGAGTCCTGTTATCTGCTGATAAAAGAGAGATTGATGATAAAAAATGTTGGAACCAGAATTGAACGGTACAACTTACTCTGTTCCGATGATTGTTTCTCTTGAAGGAATACGTAGAAAAAAAGAAAAGAGATATGACAGTCGAAGGCCAGATACGTACGGACGATTATAGCTACGCAACACAATTCTTCTCAATATAATACACAATTCTTCCCGTTTCATTTTCTTCTAGAAAAGAAAGGTTAGATAGTCGAGAGAAAAATAGTTGAAAAATCAGTAGACAATAGTATAATATATGGAGGCACGTAAAGGTGCTGTAACTGTTAACCGTTCGTTAACAGATTTATCATTTTTCAATGAATAATTTGCAAAATATTTGAACGTTGTTTGAATTATTTTTCTCTATGCTTTGTTTTTCTTACTTTTGTGATTGTGAGTAGGGCGAATGAAAATAAACAGAAAATTTTTTGCGAGTTTATCGTATATTGAAGGTAAAAGACTCTGAGCTCCCAGCGCTAAAAAATCGATAAAAAAACGCGTTTGTTTTCGTTTTTAACCACCAAAAAAACGGGTAAAGGTTTCAAAACGAACGCGTTTGTTTGTAATCTTTGTACATACATAGAAAAGATCTTCCTTGACGACAATTCGTGCAAAACATCATAAGGGTTGCTATTCGCAAATGACTCAGTCATGTTGTGAAGTTAGTTTTCAAAGAATTTCGCGTGAATAAACACAGACAGCAGCGCCTCATCCACGAAATTTTGCATAGAGAATGATCGTTATAGTCGAAGTACTGTTCACTATGATTCAGGTTTACACACATACAAGAAGTTAATATTATTGTAGCAAAACAAAGCTGAACAATAGATATCACAGTTTATCATCGGATAATGGATGGCTCATAATGGACTAATAACTTTGCATTTTAGCTGTAAGAACATATGCTTGCCAGTTATCTCTTTTCGTCTCCCCTCGTCACAAATCCGCCAAGCAATGGAAAAAAAGCCGTCCTGTCTTTTTTCCTTTTAATCTTAAGTAGCTCATCCAACTTTAGTGTGGATTTCCTCGATCTTGCGTTGATATTTGTGCATGTCGGGATGGTTCCCTTTCTTGGCTATTTCATAGGCGAGAGTGAAGTTTGTCAATGCTTCTTTCCACTTTTGTTGAGCATAGTACACCATTCCATTGTTCCAGTATGCCACTCTGAGAGACAGATGATTTTGTGGTAATGACCTCAGACGTATCTGCAAACTCATTGCATAGTATTTCAGTGCTCGTGTACCATCACCTCTGTTAACGTGGACTACTCCAATGTTGTTATATGCAGTGGCCAATAATGGATGATTCTGAGGAAGAACTGCTTGACGAATCTTCAAGCACTTATGATAGTATTCCAGAGCCCTGTCATACTGCTTCTTCTTATCATACACCACTCCAATATTGTTATATGTTGATGCAGCAGATGGATGATCTGCAGAAAGAGTTTTCAGTTGTATTTGCAAAGCTTTGTTCAGGTTCATCAGTGCCTGATCAAAATCGCCCTTATTACTGTAAACATTGCCAATGTTACTATATGTTGTGGCTAATGACAGTGAATCTGCAGGCAAACATTTCTGGTAGATATCCAGACCCTTGTTGTAATACACTAATGCCTGCTCATTGTTGCCTCTTTCGTCATAACTCAATCCAAGTTGGTTATAAATAGCTGCAACATCACTATCCTTCTGAGAACCAGTCTCAAGCATCAGCAGATAAAACTCTTCTGCTTTCTCATATTCACCCATCTTCATCACTAAAGTCCCCAATGTGGCGACATCATTTCTGTCATCTATTTCCTTCTTCATGTGATCTGTGAGTCGTCTCAGTTCGACATCTTCGTCGCCATTCAGAATCAGCTTCACATTCCACATGCCACCGCTAAGTTTATCGACCGATGCAATTCGAAACACTGTGCCCATCGAGAACAGAATCTCTCCTTCCGTCTCATAGAAACTAATCTTCTCGATATTGTGAAATGATCGTGGACATCTTCTGGTGTCAACTCCTATCTCGAATAGAACTGATTCCACATGTGGACGATGTGTCGACTGTTGAGCAAATGAGAGAGCAACATTTCTGTTCTTTGATGTTGACAGAAAACTGTTCATTGACAAGAAACCACCCACATTTGCTCTCACTTTGTCGAACTCGTTTGTCATCATGCTTTGTCCACGATACACAAGCAGTGTGCCACTCTTTACTTTGCTCGTCGAATGAAGTTGTTGCAGTTGCTGGTGGAGATGTTTGACGAAGAAGCGGAGCTTGAAGAGAATGTCAATGTCAGATGTTCTGAGTGCCTTGTTGAGCATGCGATAGAGGAAAGAGTCACGTGTGTACCACCAGATGGCATTGATCGATGAATACTCCTTCTGAAACTCATCGATATTGGCTAGTTCCTCTTCATTGTCAGCATATTGATCTCGACATTCGTTGATCATCTCTTGTCTAGCCTTGGCGTGATCATCGTGGAGTTGAAGGAGAATGTTGATCAAGAGCTGAAAGTACATAAACGATGCTTCTTGCTTGTTCGACGATGTTCCTTCACTAGTCGATGATATCACACTCATGGGGAGCTCGTTGTTCGAAGATGCAGCCACATCTTTGCTCAAGTGATGACAGATGGACTCCATTTCAGTACACACATCATTCACTTTTGCATAGTTTCTTGCCCATCTCTGATGATGCTCTTTGTTTGAGCAGAAGATATAGATGCTGTCAACTTGTGGCATGTGATGAATGAGCGGGACAATTTTCTCGCCGAGTGCACCGGATGTGATGAGAAACAGTTTCTCTGTTTTGACTGAGGAGATGTAGTGAATGCATACATCAACATCATCAAATGTTTTCAAGTAGTTGACTGTTCGTCGCAGCTGCGCTTTTGTTTGAGCACTACCTTCTGTGGTGTGCACATTTACATCGAGCCAAACAACAGCATGATCTTCAAGATTTCGTTGACGTCGTCCTAGTCTTTCGAAACGTGTTGTGAGATCATCGAGAGGTTTCTTGGTAGTTAACTGCTTGCTTGACATAACTTGTATTGTATGGTTCTGTCGTGTATCTGCAACCGGGAAAGTACAGTGTATTATAGTAAGTGACCGGAAGAGATTTAAGAAATGGTTTGACTTTGCAATCTGATACCCGGCAAGCAACTTATCCAATTTTCAAAACGGAATGGCTATTAACACCACCAGGGGTGTCAGCAATGGCTATTGACACCTACTGAAGGTGTCACCAAGATCTATTGACACCTCCAAATAGTATGTAGACTGTGCGAGCTTTGTATTTCATATAATGACATGAATGGACTTCAGATGTAGATGAACTTCGGTGAAATTTGGATGAAACTTTACAATTCGTTATGCTACGCTGGATAAATATTCATGTAGACTGGTGACTTCATCGAATATCTGTGTAACTGCTTCTTGGCTGAAGAAATCCTCTTTATCAAATGAGTTCTTTTAGTGGTTCAGCATGCATTTTAAAGTTTCATCCAATGAAATTAACCGAAGTTTATCTATACCTGAAGTGCATTTATGTCATTATATGAGATACACTTCTCACACACTCTACATACTAAAACTCAGAGGTGTCAACAATGGCTATTGACACCTCCAGGGTTTAGTGTGCAGACTGAAGCTGAATCATTCTTGAATGGATTACAGTTGCACCGAATATTAAAGAACAGCTTTTTTACTATTAAAGATGTTCGATTTACAGGACAGTGCCAAAAGTGTACGGTTAATTGCCTAAGTTCTTTCTTTTCTTTGTCAGACGACTGCAAGTGCGCACTATATATAGGGTAACCACGCTTCTACTATCAAAGCGGTTGCTGTTGTTTCGTTCTTTTATTTTTGAATTACGCTCACAAAGCTAATAACTAACGCGTCTGAAGCATCCACTCCAATCGTAAAAATCGGAAGAAAAATTCAGAAGAAAGCAGCACTCCTTCAGACGAGTAGGGCCACAAGCAAGCCTTTCCATTTGCTGTCAGTACGTTTTTAACTTGAGCGCTATGTTTATAGGAATTTAGTTAGTTTGATGACAAGATTTACACTTGAAGCTCCGCGTAAGCGTACTTTCGAAAGTTAGGTTGGGCTGAGACAATAAAAGCAGTCACCAAGTAAGAGAGACTTTTAAAATATATTCCAGTTGGTCTTCCTTCTTGAGTCCTCCATCCTTTCATTCCGCTACTGCACAGTTCTGCGAGGGAAAAAGCAACAGATGACAAGTGGCTTTCAAAATGCTAGTTTTACGAATGACTGACACAAAATGTCGGTATTAGTCTTGAAAAGAATGATGAAGAAACTATGATTTGCGCCATATTTTCTAAGCGAATGTATGTTGATAGACAAACAGTATGATGAAGTGCATTAGATGCTCGTTAGCATACTCCTTCATGCACACTTCATCGTAAAAAATGCCTGAACTTCAAACCGCATCTCGTCTCCAACTGTGTCGCAAATACAGGCAAACATTAGGGTAGAGTAAAACTGAATGTGTCTCCAAGGCAGTAGTATGAATCAAACATAGTTCATGAAGTAAAATCCATCAAGATATTGTGAAAAGGCTACTTTTTCAATAGCCAATCGCTTGAAAAAGCCGACAGAATTTTCAATTATTCGAAGGGTGTACACACACACGCACTCTCCCGATATTTCTCTCCAACCCGGTGCTTGTCTGACAAATCTTTCTGATTTTCATGAAACTTTGAACAAAATTTCACTCTATCTTTCAAAACATCTCTCCCATTAACAAAAAAAATTTTGACAAACAACGGGGGATGATAAGAGCCAAAATCGGCCCCCTCACAGATCAATCTGATGTTAACCGATCTAATGTAGTTTGTGTCCGCGATTGACCCTAACATATTTGTAGGCCCTAAAAATCCTTTTCAGTGCCCGTAGTATTTTCATTAATCCATCTCTTTCACCCAGAGCAAGTATACACTATTATATACCGTTCGATAGAGAATTTCACGGACTACAAAATACTAAGTAAAACATTGCGAAAAAGATGTAACTGGGTAGTCTAAGATTAGAAATACTCATTGCTCAGACAATTGTACTATTGTTGAGAGTCTAAAACGAAGAGTAAATTTTGAAATATGCATATGTGTGTATACATTTGAAGTTAGGAACTCAGGAACTCAGGAACGCAGAGTAGATGAATTCAGGGATTAAAGGACTACTAAATGATAACACAATTTTCACAAGGCTATAAGAATTAAATTCGAAGCACTTCAGAATTCTGCAATTCTAATACTCTAGAATTCTAAAATGACATAGTAGAAAAGACTTTCTAAAAATTCTGTTCTAAAATTTTCTGCTTTGTACTGGAAGCAAAACTTGAAGTCAAGTGCGTAAAAAACTATCAGAAGCCTGGCGCATTTTACTAGAGTATAATTTTTCGAAACAAACTAATCGGATTTTGCACGGTTCGACGTCACTTTTTATCTGGATCATAAATATCAATTTCACTTTGGATAAAAAGGCTTTTTTGATCAAAATATTACAGAGCTGTCAAATTATCATTATACAGTGTAACGATTACTTGGGACTAAAGTACTCCCGAATTTCTGAATCTGAACACTGTAGATTTCACAATCTCAGAAATTTACGATGGCACATTTCTCTGAATTCACAAACATTTAGAATTTCGGAATTTCAAAATTTCACAAAATTTCGGCATTTCTGAATATTAATATTCTCGGAATCTCAAAGGAAGTAGAATTTCATAACCTCAGCATTTCAGGTTATCAACATTCTCTTGAAGATACTAGAATTTCAGGAGTGTGTTGGGGAGGGCGGGGGAGAGGAGGGAAGATAAGTGTGAGTTAATATATGAAGTACCACGTGCTAACAACAAGTTGACAATTATTTTCGAACGGACATTTTCTCCTCCACCGTATGACATATTGCAATTCAGAGATTCTGACACTTTGAAACTGTTAAATCCTGCAGACTTCGGAGTCCAGACAAGAGTGACATGCAAAACTTTTAAGATTCTGAACTTCTCAGATGCAGAAATTCTAAATATTCTGGAATTCGAAGAATAGTGATTTTCTAAACTTCTGAGATTGCGAGATTCTGAAATTATAAATCCATTCGAATTCATGGAATAGTGTTAATGTAAACTTCTCAGATTCTGAAATTGTGAAAATCTGAGATTCTCAAACTGTAAATATCTTGAACTTCATAGAACACTGTTGTTTTAAACTTCACAGACTCTAAGATTCTGGAATTATGAAACTCCAAATATTTCTTTATTGAGAGAATACTGTCACTCTAAACTACGCAGATTATAAGATTCTTGAATTCGTAAAATTCTAAATATTTCTGAATGGAGAGAACAGCGTTACTCTAAACTTGTCAGATTGCGAGGTTCTGAAATACTTCTCAATTGAGACAATACAGATACTCCGAACTTTAGAGAAAATGAAATTCTAAGCACTTCTCAATTAGAAGAATAGTAACTTTATAAAAGTGTCAGATTCCAAGATTATGAAGCTCAACTTACTTTTCACCTCATAGAATCCTCTTTTACTCTTCTGAAATTCTGAAACTCTGCAATAACAGATGTTTTAGAATTCAAACAACAGTATTATTATAACTTCCGATAGACTTAGAACCAAAAACAGTAGAAATTTCGCAGAGAAACGTAAGGTGGCACTCTAAAATTACGAAATCCACAAATGTTTGCTCGTTTCAGATTCTCTATAGTGTAGAGTATCGAGAATTTCAAACTTTGGACTGGAAAGTCAACATCATACTGCATAAAAATGATAATGTTTTGATATTATGCATTTTATATTTGCCATCGTGAATTACATGGGAGAAGAAGGAAGAGAAACGTTTTCTTTTTTTCTGCTACTTTATGTCTTCTCTGAATACAGTATACGAGGATTCAATATTCTATAAAAGAAGCACCTGGCATCTCGTATAAGACAAACAAAACGGTTATTCTCCCTTCTTTTCTGCCTTTCGCCTACTATTTTTGTCAATGAGAAAGCAAGATATAACATGAATCGCTTATTTAAGCTAAAAGAAGACGTCTGTTGTAAACTTCCTAACAGAGATGTGTACGGGTACCATTTTCGTACCCGTACCCGATCCGACCCTAGAATTTTGTACTCGTGCCCGACCAGTACCCGACTTATGCCTAA